GTCCCTGGCATCCCCGGGATTCTGTACAAACAATGAGAGAAAAGCATTCTCCTATGCAGAAAGGAAAAGCGAATTTATTCCTTGACTGACTCACTCCTTCAACAAAACAAAATGGAAATGAATGGGCCTCTGTAAACCAGACCCTTCCTTTGAGAACCTTCCTTCAGGCACCCAGGGAGGGAGGAGTCCAAAGAGTGGAGGGGAAAGCTCAGGGCCATCCAAGGCTCCTGGTCGTGGAACAAGTAGAATCAGAAGCCTGGTCCCCACCCAGGCTCAGTTTCTTTGACCGGTACAGTAAGGATAAGGAACCACTTGTCCATCTCCCAGGCTCATTTCCATTGTCAAATACAGAAGCAGAAAAAGACCCAGAGAAGCACAGAAACTCCCATTCTGTACTGCTTTATTATCAGCCAAAGAAAGGAAGCGTGGGGTGGCCGGCAGTCCTGAGGGTGGGGGCTCAGCAGACCTGTAGCTCCCTATAGTTCCCTGGACAGAGTGAAGGATACTCTGGGCTCAGCAGACCCTGCTAAGCCAGGCAGCAACCCAGTTAGTAAGATGACATAACCTGTGTGATGAGAGAGGAATCTATTCCAGGGAAGAGAGAAGTGGCAGGAAAGGCCAGATAGAATCCAGGGTGTGGAGGGGCTCCCTGGTTGCCAGCACTTGGGCAAAAAAAAAATAAAATAAAAAATTTGCAGCTCAACCCAAATGCCACACAAATAGGCACGACCCTAGTATAAGCACACACCCTTTCATTCCTGAGGGTGGTCTCAAAGTAGACTACCAAGGTAGACCCAACTCCTTGGCAGGTTCTTTGCACTCTTGTACTTTGTACCCAGTGACTGCACCTTGACTATGGTCACAGAACTTCAAGCCGGTTTGCCTGGAAATCTTCCAGCCCAAGCACCATATTACTTAAGTGAGAAGGTTCAGAGAGGAAGCGGGTGACAGGCAGAGAGAGATTTTCTATGGACCACGTTGGCCTTGCATTTATGGCCGCTATTTATGGCCACTCCTGTCAGCTAAAAAGTTCATAGGTTTTTAGCACCTATGAACCTTCCCTCTGGGATTGCTCGTTATGCACTCTGTGTTGTTACTGTACACATCAAATCAGGAGTTGTGCAAATAGCTGGCAACTTGGAACAAGGCTGCAGACAAAGAGGGCTCAGCTAACACAGTTATACAACCAGAAATGAGGTAATTTGAACTTTGGTGGAGCTGGGTTTATGGCCTTAGCCTCTTTGAATGATGATGCAGAGAAGCAATAGTTAATTGAAGACACCTAGTGCTAGGAGCTAGTAAAGGAGCACGCCACCTTTCTTGAGTCTTACAAAAAGAGACCTGAGGTTAGAAAGGAAGCCTACAGTGGCAGCCTTATCATGAACACCGGGCTGTAGGAGTCTGGATACACCAGTTCTTCTCTCTGGGCCTCAGTTTCCTTAGTGGAACTTGAAAGGTTTGGATGAAAATCTAAAGGGCTCTTTCAGTTACAGGACTCCAAAAGAAAACTTAAAAGGCAGGGTTATTTGGCTTACAGAAAAGGTGACCACACAGTATTGGCAATGACACTGTCCCCAAATAAAAAATAACTGAAGTTCACTTTCAAAACATTCATGCTCACCAACAGAGGGTAAAAGGCCAGACTGACCTAGCTTCCCACAGCCTCAGTGCCTCAAAGTCAATGCATGACAATTGCTATGGAGCCCCTGCTTGTCAGCTGGCTTTGTCATCTGGGGCTGATATTGGAAAGCCTCTGCAGGAACAAGATGGAAACTGATGAGCTGGTCAGTCATCCTCGCCTCCCTAGTCTTGCTGAATCACCCTTGACATTCTGCCTGGAAGCAGGAGTTCCGAGGAGGTGGGTGACCTCTTGAAGCCCCAGGCCAGGCCTGTGATTCTGTAATCTTTGCTTTACCATAATTAGGGAGGGAAGCAGAAGAGTAGGAGGAGAAACCATTTATTACTTCTCTGGGATTTGACAGCTTGGAGAGGGAGAAAGAGAAACAGCCAGGGAAGGAGCCAGCCACAGTGAGTTTAACCTCTCAGTAAAATAAAAATGGGCTGGACGCACCTCATCAGCTGCCCTCTGTCAATACTTGGGCCCATCTGGCAGAACTCGAGGTTCCCAGCTAATTGGCATTTCCCATAGAGCCAGCAAAGAAGAGCTTAAAAAAAAAAAAAACATGGTGTAGTGAGTGTGTATGAGTGTACGCATGTGTGTGTGTGTGTGTGTGTGTGTGTGTGTGTGTGTGTAAGCAGACTGTGGAGCACCACACTTCCCCAAGGTGTGAGCTCCGTAGATCATCTATTATATAAAAAAGTACAGACAGTCCCCACCCCCCACCCTGGAGCTTAAAGATGAAGAATCCAGCCTGTTTGTTCCAGGCAGATGTAATCACACGAACAGTCAAGTCTAGAGGGCAGGACACTGCATGAATAATTCAAGCACTCCAGTCACTTGATTGTGTGTGCAGATAAAACACCAGTCAACCGCTAAACAGGTCAGCTGATAAACTTGTTTGCTCAGGCCTAACCACCATCCACCAAATGCACCCAAGACCCACACTACAATTAGTGGCAGGGTTTTCTTCTGCAGAGCCCTAGCAAACCTAGGGAGTGGCCAGCGCCATTAGGTCAGGGTTGCATTTCTAAGCCCAGAGTTTCCTCACCTCCTTGCCTCTTTGTTTCTATACCGCCACAGGGTGATTTCACCCAACTCAAGAGACTGCCACAGCCAGCAGAGACAGCACATTCAGGGCACAAGCATTCATGCTGGGAATGGGCTAGAAGGCAAAGGTGAGAGGCCAGTGGGATAAAGCATCCAGCTGAGAATCCAGAGTCTCTGATGTGAGTCCTAGCTCTGCCCTCTGGCCTCCCTGAGGCCTTGGTTTCCCCACCTATAAAAAGGGCAAAGAATCCCTTTAGCCACCACTGGCAGCTGAGAGGATTAAAGGAGACAATGTAGCCAAACCTCAGGCATTCTCCCCCTAAGAACCCTGTTTGGGGAATGGCCAGAAATCCCAGATGCACACAGCTGCTCTTTATACAAACCCCACCACCAAATGCGTTAAGATGTTTAACTCTTCTGGGTTCACAGTGTCCCCAGGACTCGGAGAATAGCTTTGCTCTGCCAGCCAAGGTGGTTCCTTTGTGCCAAAGAAGCATCCACTCATAGATATGGGGACACCACCCATGCAGACCTCAACATGCAACGACATATTACACCTTAATTACGAAGCTCTTAGAATAACTGCTGCTATAAATTTAAACCTGGTTGCAATTACCCTCTTTAAACCTCTTTAAACATACCCAAGATACTAAGCAGAGAGAGAGAGAGAGAGAGAGAGAGAATATATATGTGTGTGTGTGTGTGTGTGTGTGTGTTGAAAGGTGGAGAAAGGGAGGAAGTGACACCCTGTATAACACACCAAGGTCCTTGAAATACCTGGGAGACCCCAGTTTCGCCACATGCATTTTTTTCTGGACCAGTCAGACCTAGTCAGTTCCACCTCCAATGGGGCAGAATCTATCTCTAGTCTCCCAAGGGAAACCTTATTTACATATAAATCAGGATCTGTTTATATTTTTGTGGACCAAGAAGTGAAAACGTGGTAGCCTTCATGTGCCTTCCTAGAGAACTAACCCCTCAGAAAGCCACAAACTGGCTTCCCACACTGCTCTGTAAACTCGGGCCCCTGGCTCTTCACCCAACACTGGGGCTCCCTCCAGGACAGGGAAAGACTTTACAGGAAGCCACTGGAGCAGGGAGGGGGTCACTTACCCTTCTCACCTGCTCTAGGTCCTGCCTGCTTTAAAGAGCAAAATTTAAACCTTGTAAACGACTGTTAATTTAGAGCAGAAAATCCATTCAAGTCACGGTCACCAAAGGCTAGAATGAGTCAACAGCCTTCTGAGATTTCAAGAACACCAATTGTTAAAAAGAACAACCGGGCCTGCGCCATTTATTCTTGCCAAGTCAACGCTAATCGGTCCGCCAAGCCAAATTATAGACAGCCTCTCCTCTCCTCCGAACACAAATACACAAACAGGCCTCTCCCACGGCCAGCCTAGCACTGGGACTAGTTACTGATATGCACCGAGATAAAGGGTGTTTGTATTTGCCAGGTTTGAGGTATACTGTTATTAGAAGAGTGACAATAGGGGGTAGTTTACATATCCATCAAATGACACCACACTAGCTAAACTGGTTTGACTTGAGGATTTCAAAGCTGAGCTCAACCCCCAACCATCTCAAAAGGCCTGGCCAGGCTGCCCCGGGCCAGTTACTTCATCCTCAGCTTCAGCTTCCTTCTCTGTAAAATGGGAACACAGCTGCCTTCAAATTAAGATCCAGATGAAAAAGTCGCCTTCTAAATGTGAGGCATTAGAGCTCTATTTCATTTTGGTTTTATGTTTTTAAGCCGTTAGTGGCTTCATTCCCTTAAATTTTGACAGCTCAGTCTGGCTTTTAAGGCTCTTGAAGTTTAATCTTATCAAGGCAGAACATCACATTTTTTGCAAGAAAAAAAAA